CCCCCCCCCGTTCTCCCCCTCATTTATGTGTCAGTGTGCAGCAGCTAGCAGGTGATTATAGGCGAAATAGAGTAGAGAAACATTAAGACTTTGGTAGTAAATACATTTCGTGTTTATTTACCTTCTTTTTTTTTTAGACGTTCCAAGTAGGGCCTACCTGTGGCTGTGCCTAGAGGCTAGACTGTAGACACAACTGACGAATACGGTTACGGTAGAGTCGGTAGAGATATACGCTACACGAGCATGTAACACACAATACCAGCACAAGCATTTTACAACGCTTCCATCAACATAATTAATACAAATTACGAGAGATTTATGAAGAACTGACATACATACCAAACACGCCACTCCGTTGCTAAGACGAAAGAGGCTCCAGCAACCGTAAAAACGCGCCAAAGCGACCGCTCGCCGGGTTTATACAACGTGAGAGTTATACGCGGTAATTTTTTACAAAATATCGCGCTTACACGAGTACCTGCAGTCACTACCATAGATAACCTAGCCGGAGTATTCGGGCTGCGATTTCGATGCTCACCGCATTTACAGACGAAACCTTTTGTGTTTTTCTGTCTCTTTATTAGCTTTGTAAAGCGGTACCAGACCTGTAGGAAGAATGTGAAGGAATTAGAGCTCATGGCATAGAGTCATAGCATGGTTGCATGACCTCATAACCTAATAAATAATATGCTTCAAGCCAGGGACTATATCGAAGACAGCAAGAAACAAAGTTGATTAATTCTAAATTTCTAATCCATTTTTATTCTCTAAATTCTTTCGACTGGTGGGAAGAACGCCAAGAATGTAATTGTCTTTTGATCAATGAGGTCGCGTTTTAACGACCATTGTGTCATCATCACTCGATATCGTGGCATTACGTACGTCGCGTAGACGTAAAAATTCATCGAGTTTATGCACGGTTGTGTGCATAGGCTCTCTTTTTTATTCTTTTAGAATATATATCAAGTCTATATTACATGATTGCCGTACGTGTGACCATACATATTCGAAACCCGTAAAGTAAAGAACATGTTTTTTAAATACGCGTTTTTATGTAACTGTACATTTATTATTTGTAAAATATATATATCCACAATATTAGATTCTTGCTGATCCTCTGTCTCACACTAAATACCAGAATACAATATTTAACTAAACTGATTCGTCTATTTTTCTGCTGCAGTAATTATATATACACCTCAATTAACAAACAAATAAACAGTAAAATTAAGGCCACATATTTAGAGCTTACGTTCGCATGCGTGTTGTTTCTCACGATATAAAATTTCATGTGAATTAAAACTGATAGTAGCCCTAGATCTAATCAATTAAATCTAACGTCTCAATTTTAATTTATTTTTAAGCAGAAACTGATTGCTGACGAGATAAATTTGAGCAGCGAAGGTAAGGCGCGGAAACCAGCTGTCAAACATGCAATTCAGCACCACCAAATACAAGGATAACAAGCATCGCTTCGAAAACCAGCTTGCATACGAAGTTCACATAAACATCTCTCTCTTTCTTTCTTTCTCTCTCTCTCTCTCTCTCTCCTCTCGCTCTCTCTTCTCTGCTGCTCATCTCTCTCTTCGGTTTCTCGGTCTCCTCTCTCTCTCTCTCTCTCTCTCTGTCTCTCTCTCCTCTTCTCTCTTCTCTCTCTCCTCATCTCTCTTCCCACTCTCTCTCTCTCCTCCACTCCTCTCTGCCTCATCTTCCTCTCTCTCTCTCTCTCTCTTCTCTCTCTTGTCTCTCTCTCTCCTCGTCTCTCTCGCTGCTCTCGTCTCTCTCTCTCTCTCTCTCTCCCTCCTCCTCGCTTCTCTTCTCTTTCTTTCTTTTCTCCCTCTCTCTCTCTCTCTCATTTCTTTTCTCTCTCTCTCTGTCTCTCTCTCTTTCCTCTCTCTCTCTCCGCTCTCTCTCTCTCCTCCTCTCTTCTTCCCCTCTTCACTCCCTCTCCCCCTCTTCTCCTCTCCTCCCCTCTCTCATCCTCTCTCTCCTCTCCTCTCCTCTCTCATCTCTTCTTCCCCCGTCTCATCTCTCTTCTCTCTCTCCTCCTCTCTCTCACTCTCTCTCTCTCCCTTCTCCATCTCTTTTTATCTCCTGCCTCGCTCTCTCCTCGCCCTCTCTCTCCTCTCTCCCTCTGCGTCCCTCTCATCTCTCTCTATCTGCATCTCCCT